TTCCCTGCCATACCCCCAAGAAACTATTAATGCAGTTACCATCTCTATAGATTTACCTATCCTAGATTTCATATACAGAAAAACATGCCCAAAAGTTATCAGCCATAACACAGCAAAATAGAGAAAAATCTCAATTGAAAAGAAAGTAGAAAATATTAAAAATTAGAACAACTTTAAAATAGGTCTAAAGGAAGATCAAACACTAAGCTGTTATATGTTTACCTAACTAGCTCTCCACTCTCCAGGGTACTATGCATCATAACAAGACTACTCTCACCCCTGGTCTGTGGTCACAGAGGGCTCACCAGAGGCTTAATTTATGGGTCAAAAGGGAGATCAAATAAGATATTACATTTTAACCTAACCATATTTACCATAATCGCCTTTACAATGCTCTTTGTCTGATAAGGATATTTACATCCCTCAATTATGGTCTACGGGGATACACTGGAAGCTTGTGGACCCTGCAAGTAGATTTGGGGCTTCCACTGTGTCCACGGCCTTCTGAAAACCAGGTGTTCACAATTCTACCCTGTTTTATAAGGTCTCTATGAGTTGGAATCAACTAGATTGCAGTGAGTTGGTTTTTGTTTTGGTTTTTTGTTGTTTTTTATTTAACTTCCATTGGATTTTTTTTTAACACTTATCTTCCACATGTTGATAATTAGGAGCATCCTCAAAGGTCATTATGGTCAGGAGCGGGAAAAAAAAGCTACAAAAGGAGGAGATTAAAATTTTTCAGTAGAAAAATGTTCATTCTTGGAAAGATGAAGGAAAATTCAGTCATTTTGCTATGTCAGACATACCTAAGGCTGTCTTACTATCCGGATCTTACATGTTCTTCTGGTGCTTAGAGGCATCTATTGTTTCCTACCGATCAAAGAATAAAGTTGAAACTTATGCAAATATTAACAAGAGACTTTACAATCCATTCTACCTTACTTTCCTAGACTCTTCTCCACCTTTGTCCTGTGATTCCTTCTATACCCTTACTTAGCATACCAGGCAACATACCCATTCCTACACTGTGTAACTGACAACCCTGTCACTATATACTTTGTCCTTCTGGACAACTATAACTCATCCTTTAAAATATAGTTTTGTGTCCTTTATGAAGGCCTTCATAATATCTTCAGTTATAGATAATTGCTTCCCTCTCTCTATTTCTCTTATTCATTGTACTTCTTGTATCCTTCATACATACACTCTGATCTTCTTTATAGCAACTTGGCTTCTTTCCTCCTGGTGAACAATGAACTCTTTAAGTGATAACTATGTATAATTCATCTTCATTTTCCTGATACCTGATATGATACCTACAACACAGAAGCTGCTTAGAAAATGTGGCCTCAAAGAAGTTATAAAAAGTCTAGGAGAACAAATTAGACTTATTTTAATTATAGGGTGCTGATTAAAGTTAGATGATATTGCATGTCAAATACAAGGGAGTAAGTAGTCCTTATAAGTGTAAATCTAGATAGTTTTATAAGATTTTACGCTTTTTCTTAAACAATTATGGAAATTACCTTTAAACATTAAGAAATATCTCCATAGAGGAGATTGTAGTCTATATTGAGCAGATCCACTATTGTCAGGCCCAAATATCACTGAATAATTTTCTGTCTCCTCCTCAGATTGGCTTGGTCACTCTGAAATTATGACAGGCTCCTCTGCACCTCCTCTGAAACTCTCTCCACACAGACAATACTCATATCACTAGAACCTTTTATTTTTAAACTCTTCTACTGATATCTACTTATACTTAGTTTATTCAACCACTCTATTGGGAATTAGTTTATTCAACAAGAACTATTGGTTTATTATTTATTTTTCGTATTCAGAATATACATTGTATATTCTACAAGGACAATTCAAGTATAGTGATATTTTTTGAATGGTACCACTCTCACTCTCCTATCTATGTATTAGATGACTTCCCGTCTAGTCTATAGCGTTCTTGTCATCAAGATAATCCCACATAGAGAGAGCTTAATAGAGCAGATAGCTCAAGGCAGACATCCTTTACTAGTTCAGCTAAAGCTATTTTTTTCATTTCAAGAAAGCTTCAGGAGATACATTAGGTTTAAGATTTAAAGATTGTCACTTATTTACTAACATTGAGTCAACTCCGACTCCTAGAGATCCTGTCGGACAGAGTAGAAACCCTGTGTGCGACTGTAACTTTATGGGAGTAGAAAACCTC